TTTTTTGTGTATTAAAGCAATTAATGATTATTTTAAATCAATTAATGAAACGAATGGAGTGTTTGGAAATTATAATAAAAATAATAATAAGGGGTTTTTGGGAAAAGTTTATGACTCAAATTTTTTTGTATGTCTGGTTTATTTTTAGCGATAAAACCTTTTGGAAAAATCCTGTGTTTACCATTAAAAATTGTAATACATGTTATAAATGAGAACATATACATTTGAATTTCTTATTACTAAATGTTTATAATTGTGTTTTCAAACTTATTTTACAAAATCTAAAGGACACAATTAAATTAAACAAAATATGCTGCGAATTAACTACAAGTTTGGAGTGGTGTGGGAAAGGGATCTAATGGGGAATACCCTCATATATCAAGGGTAATGTCTTCACAGAACTGTTACGTAAAGCTAGAAATTGGCAAATTAAATCAATTATAACTCACTATATGCTAACATGAATATAAATAAACTAGAAAAAATATAATTATAGACATTATAATATAAAATAATGATAATATTTCAATAAAAATAATTTTGTTGATTCAATTCATACCTCATATCTCGAGGAAATGTGAGCAAAAATAGTCTCAATGACTGCCAATAATAGAAAACAATATACAGTATGAGGCCAACAGCCGATCCCAGGCCTACCCATCGGTTAATGTTAAGCAACAGTGCGGCCGCATTGGCCACCAATAGGGAGACCAACACTAAGACCATTGTTTGCAGTCAAATGTTCAATGAATTTAATAATAATATTAATGACAAATGAATAACTTATTAAAATATGATTTCCGTTCACAAACTACTAATCAAAATGAGCACAATATAAACTAACTTTAATAAAACTTTATTTATAATTTCAAGAACTTATAAAAATTAAGTTAAATATCAAGTTGCTCTTAATAGTGATACAGACATTGACGAAATAAATTATAACGTTGCTAGTATTTTTTGTTTGTTTTAATACTATGTTATTGACTTTGAAAGCACCTTTTATTATTATTATGAAGTGAGAAATTATAGTTAAATATATTGAAAAACTATTTTGTTGAGCTGAAGTGCTTTCACTGGCAAATCAGTTCATATTGAACTGAATATAATTGAATTTGATATAAATATATATAAAGCAAACAAATGGCAACAAATGCCAAATAGTGAGCGTCGATAGAGCACTACTCCAGTGGTGTTATCCGATAATTGCTTCACTCATACACTGGTGTTATTCGAGTGCTCTCTCATAGAGTATAGCATTGAGTGGAGTGTCGACAGTCTCTCCGATAATACCAGAAATTGTGATGACGTATGAAAAAATCACTAAATGTTTTGACTTATTATAAAGGGGACACTGAATACCGGTTTTTTATTTTTCAGATAAGAGAGAGAGAGAGAGAGAGAGAGACCGGGTGGGTATAACTTACAGTATACAGTATACCAATTGATATTTTGTATATTTTAATAGATTTTATTTTAGGAATTGTTTCCAAATATAACTTCTAGGAAAACAAATAATTTTTTAATAGACCCAAGGGTCAGACATATTTTTATTTGAATATAAGTTCTTATAGCAAATAGTCTTTACAAATAGTTTAAATAAGAGACAATTGAAAAGTACAGAATCCACAATCGATCAAATGATAAGTTACAGTGAAGTGTACTGATAATATCTACCATTAAATTTATGTTAAATTTTATCATTTTTACTGACACTGAATTTTGCATTTTTGAATTAGCATGCAATTTCAGAAATAATATAAAGTAAATGAATGAAAACTTATTTGTACAAAAAATCTTGGTATTGCATAATGAGAACTGTACCAATTAACACTTTGTTATAAGTTTAGGACTAATAAGTTATTAGTAATAACTTTCTTTCTAATCATTTCACTAATTCAATATAAGGGCATTTTAGTGAAGCTATTAATATATCAATTGTTTGTCTGAACTTAAAAGCTTTTAGATAAAATAGTTATGAGATAATTTTTATAAGTTATGACATTTACAAAATATAATGAAGAACTTCTCTGTGATAAATAATAACACTCACAAATATATCTAATATTTTTACATTTAAATTTTTCAAATAATATTAATAATATTTATTTAATACATAGATAACCTCATTTCTGGCTCAAAACAAACCGTTTTTATATAATAGTTATATATTATATATATAATTTTATGCTATATGTTATATAATTTTTAAAATAGTTGTTAGTATAATTGCTATTAACTTATGGTCAATGAGCAATATTTATTACCTGTAGAATTATCTATATTTTATTCTCCATTGAACTATTAATTAAATATAATTTTGAAATGGTAATGATGTACAAGATTCAACGAGTTTAAAATTAAAATAATAAATTTCTCAAACTTTGTTTTTACTTGGTAGATAATTTAAAATCAAATCTAATATAAAGTACTGTACTTAAATAGACTAATGCTTACAGTGCAGTCTGTACTGGCTATCAGTGATCTATAATCAATAGTACAGTATTAAAATAAATTACAACAAATACCTGTAATATTATGTAGACATAAAGTGTGTGCATTGTCACAAATTGGGTATTGATTAAAATAGTTAGTATACAGTACTTAATAATTATAATATTAACTAATTGACAGTAATATTATGAATGCTAATATTTAAAATATTTATTGGTATAATAAGTGTGTGCATTGTCACAAATTGGGTATTGATTAAAATAGTTAGTATACAGTACTTAATAATTATAATATTAACTAATTGACAGTAATATTATGAATGCTAATGTTTAAAATATTTATTGGCATAAATGAGTGATTCAAATATCAACAATATTAACATTTAAAATGAAAATGGTTACAGATTTTGGTAATATATAGATATAAAATTCATACATTTAGTGTAAAATTTATAAATTTATTAAAAGATTTAATAAAAAAATTTTCTAAAAATAATTTATAGGATAAGTAGTTGAATCAATTCAACAACATAAATTATATTACATAATAATTAAATTTATTAAACTTCAATTCTTATTAATTATTAATATTAATTAATTAATATGTGGTTTTGAAAAACAATTTAAATAATTAACACAAGGAAATGTTAATAATAAGTTATTTATTACAATTAAATTAAAATAAGATTTTGCAGCTTTTACATTTTGATTTGAATAATATTAATTAAAATCAAACATTTTTAATCTAAACAGTAATAATGAAAATACTATAGACATAATATAAAATATCATATAAACTCTCTATTATTACAGTATTATTTAATCTTTTAAAAGGAATACACAAAAATTACACCAAAATGTTGTTAAATTTTACAGTATTTATAAACAAGGAAAGTTATCATTTTTATTATATTTCCCAGAATTCATATAATATGAAAATTTTAATGTATAATAATTATCAAATTGCAAAAAACCCTTAACTGACTAGTTACTATTTATGTTTAAATTTATTGTTTTATTTAATAGATTGGAAATATTTCGATAATAATAATTATATTTGTTATCATTTTAAAATTTGATTTGTCCTGATTGTACCGATTCATAGATTTCATTTGTCATGAGTTTATAATTATTAAGGTTTTTATCAAATATATAAATCAAGTCATCATTTGATTGAGGAGTATATCCAATGTTTTGTAGTTTGTATTTAATCAGTTTGAAAGTACCCGTCACCTCTATATCTGTGGTCAATTTCATGAACAATGGTATGGCATATGAAGGCAAACGTTTAATCAACTGTTGAGCCAATTGTTGTAAATCTATATCATCTGAATTGGCATTAATAACAGCCATTCCTGCTTTGCCTTCGCACTGACCAACACTTACACCGAAAACTGTACAATCTTTGAGGGATATATAGGTTTGTAGGACTGCCTCCACATCTGTTGTCGACACATTTTCTCCTGAAGAATATTTAGCAATAATTATAATAAAAGTAAACCCCATTTAAAACAACTACCTTTCCACCTAAAAGTATCCCCCATTCTATCGGTGAAGTAAATATAACCAAATCTATTCATTTCCATCAGATCTCCGGACATGAATCCTGAGTCTCCGAAAGACCTAATGTTATGAATTAACTTCTTTTGTCGATCTTCTTCCACAGTATATCCCAAGAAGTCTTTCATAACATTATTCTTTTGGTGTTCGGCCACAAACACGCCAATCCCTCCCGGTTTTATCCATTTACACAAACCCTTCCGATTGCGAACCGGTTCACCAGTGATCGGATCCACTCTTATAAGATATCCCGTGTAAAACAGTCTAAGGAATGGCCCGTAATAGTAGGGAATAAAACCACAGGAGCCCTCCTTGTTGTCTATGTTTACTATTAATGTTATAAATATAATAATTATAATATCGATAATCTAATTAATGAATAAATACCTAAAATACAATTGCCTTCAGAGGCGCCGTAGAATTCAACGATCCGTTTGATAGAAAATCTACTCTTAAATAGTTTCCAATACTCTTTCCTCAACCCTATGCCACACATCAGTCTAATCGAGTGCTGAGTGTCCTCTGGTTTTGACGGTTGTGACAACAAATACCTACACATCTCACCGATGTATAGAGCAATCTATTTGGAAATTTTATATCAAATAACAATTTTAGATAGTTTTTACATTTTCGGCAAATCTTGTACTTATATAAATAGATTTAATTATTTGATATTACTTACAGTGCACTCGTATTTAATGCAATTGTGCCAGAATTGTGAGGCCGAGAATTTATTAGCGATTGTGATTGTATTACCACTTATTAAGCAAAAGCCTGCACCTAAACAGCCACCAAATGCGTGGTATAGGGGTTGGGATACATAGATATTGTCATTCTTCTTGATTCCACAAATAGTGGCAAATGCGATGAGACCACCAATAAAGCGGCCATTAGTTTGAATGGTAGCCTTAATTTTGCCGCCAGTTGTGCCCGAAGTGTATACATATAGAAGTGTGTCCTTAAAGTTTTGTTTGTCTAATACATTGACACTATCTTTGGGCAAAGTTTGCAAATGTTGAGCAAATGATTGTGGAGTATGTTTTGGTTGACTTATATCACTATAAGTATGACTATCATCAGACCAGACAAAGTATAACATCGAAGGACTTATTGATATCAACTTATCGTAAATGTCTTCAAAAGCTAAAATAAATATTAAAATATTTATACAATATATTACCGGTAGTTATATATTTTTATAATTTGTATTTTAATATTTGTATAATTAAAATAAAATAATTAGTTAAACTTAAAATTGATTTACTTTACTGAATAACTTTACTATAAAATTAATATATAACAAGCAATTGTATTAAAGAATTTTTAATAATTTAAAAGAATTTTTAGATTGATAAGTTGATTATTAAAATAATACTGTTTTAATATTTAAGCTTATATTTATATTTAAAGCAAAATAAGCAAGTACAGTAATACCTGAAAAGAATTCCGAGTCATAGATAATTGCTTTGCAATGAAATGCTTCAAAACAATTGATTAGTGAATCCATTCTGTTATTAATGTTAATAAAAGCAGTGATAATCCCTACTTTAGCCAAACCCAACCAAATGCCTATAAATTCTGGCTTATTATCCATCATAAGAGCCACTTCGTCGCCACTTTTCAAACCCATTGATAGGAAATAATTAGCGATTTTGTTGGAGAATTGATCGAGTCGTGTAAACGTCCAGTTTTGCTCATTAAACTTAATGGCAATTTTGTGACCATTTTTTCTGACAGTTTGTCGAAACAAACTGATCACCGATTCGTTACTTAATTCACATCTCTTTAATCGCAGGTAGACTTCGCTGAATATGAGAGTCGCTCTGAATTGAAAACATTGTTACCATATAATGTAACATATCGTAACCGTAATGATTACCTTATATCTCTTATGAGAGCTTCAAATAGTTGTACAATCATATTTACAAATTAATTGAAACACAAATAATTTATATTAACAATCAAAACATTTTCAAATAAAAACTTCATTAAACTGTTTAATTGAGTTATGGCTATTGTGAACAAACATTGTCATAAATATATTTTACTACATTTTACTTTATATTTTTAAAAGGAAGTGTTATTAAAGAGTGAACACAATTAAGAGTCAATTCAATGGCAATTATTCAGGATTTTTATTATTATTAGTTGATTTAAAATTCAATTTCACAATCAGTAACAGGTTTTTGTTATTCAATGGAAAATACCAAATAAATGAATTTTAAGTTTTCAATAAAACATATTTTAAGAATTTATAATTTGACGCAAATTTACTTTATTAGTTTTATTCTGATGTTTATCAAGATATTTTGTTTTGAATACTGTTTTGTGAATTTTCCCCTTAAATAGTTTATAAACTGGTCATATTTGTTAAACGTATTGCAAAACATGTTGTTATCTTCATTTAAATATTTACATTATAAAATACAGTACAGTATGTAACATACTGTATGTTATAATTTATTATTATATCAATTTATTTGTACAATATAAAAGTTGGAAACTGTATTACATAAAATAAATGATATAATTGTGTTTGCGCATTTTCGAAACTTTATATATCTTTTATTCGTGATTGTTTTTAATAAATTCAATACTTAATGAATATAACGTTATCACAATTGTAAAATGTTTGAACAAAAAATATTTAAACTTAAAACTTAATTTCTCCCGATTGTATGGATTCGTACGTTTCATTTGTCATGAGTTTATAATTATTGAGGTTTTTATCAAAGATATAAATCAAGTCATCACTTGATTGAGGAGTATATCCAATGTTTTGTAGTTTATATTTGATTAGTTTGAAAGATCCAGTCACTTCTATATTTGTGGTCAGTTTTATGAACAAAGGTATGGCATATGAGGGCAAACGGTTGGTAAGTTGTTGAGCTAATTGTTGTAAATCTATATCATCTGAATTGGCATTAATAACAGCCATTCCTGCTTTGCCTTCGCACTGACCAACACTTACACCGAAAACAGTACAGTCTTTGAGGTTTAGATAGTTTTGTAGGACTGCCTCCACATCTGTTGTCGACACGTTTTCTCCTAAAAATATTTTTAAATTAAAATATTATAATAGTACAATAATAATGATATCCGAATCAATATATACAGTAGATACCTTTCCATCTAAACGTATCTCCAATCCTATCCTTGAAGTACATGTACCCAAACTTATCCATTTCCACCAGATCTCCGGACATAAATCCCAAATCACCCACTGATCTAACATTGAATATCCACTTCTTATTAGTTTGTTCTCTATCTGTATATCCTTTGAACTCATGAATTGGACTGATTTTGTTATGTAGTCCCACGATGACTCCAATTTCACCAGGTCTAATCATTTTGCACAAACCCTTGCGATTGCGAATTGGCTCATATGTGACAGAATCCACTTTTACAATACATCCAGAATATAACAATCGTAAGAATATTCCGTAATAATAGGGTATAAATCCACACGAGCCCTCCTTGTCGTTCAAATTGACTGACAAATATATTTGTATCATAATATTATATTTAAAATACTATTATTTATAAGAAAATGATTACCCAAATAGACATTAGCTTCAGAGGCGCCGTAAAACTCATAGATATGTTTGATTGCAAACCGAGTCTTGAATTGATTCCAAAACTCTTTCCTCAACCCTATGCCACACATCGCTCTAATCGAGTGTTTATTGTCCTCTGGTTTAGGCGGTTGTGACAGCAAATACCTACACGTCTCGCCAATATATACCCCAAACTATGCATTTAATATGATTATAATGAATATATCAGACAAGGTTTTAATATAGTCATTTAGAGCATCATCTATACATACAGTGCAGCCATATTTGATGCAATCAGTCCAATAGTTTTTTGCTGAAAATTTTTCGGCAATACTTATAGTGATCCCATATATAAGACATGTGCCTACTATTAAGACACCGCCAAACGCGTGATAGAAGGGTAGGGGGACGTAAAAGTTATCGTTTTTTCGGACCTTAAACCCGATGTAGTGTCCGCTCACCCCTACCAACACCCGGGCGTCGGTCTCGATGGCAGCCTTTGGTTTACCACCGGTTGTGCCCGAAGTGAATATATAGACGAGAGGGTCGTTAAAGTTTCTTTTGTGGTAAACATCCAGACTATTCTTGGAGTAGTTATCCAATAGACGATAAAAGGACTCCGATATGAATTTTGAGGATATATTGTTATTATTGATGTCATTTTTAGACCAAACATAGTATTTAATTAAAGGATAGCTGGCATTCAATTCCTCATAAATGTCTTCAATTGCTGTATAAAACCAAATATTTTATTAATTACTTACAATCTTAGTATATTTCTTAATAACTTTTCAATTGATAATCGACTTATAAATAGTTCATAATAATTATCACATTTATACCAGAATTATATTCCTCGTCAAATATAATAGCTTTGCATTTGAAGGCATGAAAGCAATTGATGAATGAATCCAATCGGTTATTAATGTTAATAAAAGCGGGAATAATTCCTACTTTAGCCAAACCTAACCAAATGCCTATGAATTCTGGCTTATTATTCATCATAAGCGCCACTTCATCGCCACTTTTCAAGCCAATCGATACGAAATAATTGGCGATTTTGTTGGAGAACTGATCCAAGTGTCTGAACGTCCAATTCTGGTCCACAGCCTTAATGGCAATTTTGTCGGCATTTTTTGCGGCCGTTTTGCGGAATATACTGATCACTGACTCGTTATTAAACTTCCATTTCCTCCACAAAAGATTCCACTCAACCACTCCTATACCAGATCTATTCAAATTAATTATATATTAAATATTTTATGTCAATATTACGTGATTTAAATAATTAATTTAAAATCAAATTACAGTCAAATAAAATATGAATTTGTTTGCACGTCAATAAAAATCAAGTCTAAACTTTATCAGCACTTATTTCATACAGTACCTTAAATACTCAAGCAATTAATTTATTTATAATTATCATAATTAAATATTTTGTAATTTTTATAATTAAAATATTTTATATAAAAGTGTCAAATTGACCTATCACCTATCTATAAATCTATGGAAACTTTTAAGATGTCTTAAGGAGACAGTATAATAATAATGATTATTAGACTTATAAACTAAAATTATTTTTAAAATAATTACTGCTACTTTTTATTGTAAATTTATGTTAATATTAATTTTATACTTTTGCTTTCGTACTAAACTATAAGATTAAACATACCGTAATAATTTTTTAATTATTTTTGGCTCATGTAATACTGTAATATAAATTATTTTTATTGCTCATTTTATAGATTTTGTAAATAGTCTAGACTTTTATAAATAAATTGTATGGTTTTTAATTTTAGATAATTAATTTTATTCATATTTTATATAATTTGATAATAATAAAATCAAATATAAAATTATCTATCGTTAAAAATATTATATATAAATGTAGAATGAATCAAATTAAATCTTCTAATAATAGTAATTGTAAATTGACCAATGTCATTGTTAAAGTTAAAATAAAAATTATAAACATATTTGCATTGAGGTGTCTATCAATCAATTGTATCAATTGAAGGCAATTGAATTCTTTAGAAAAACTTTAATTTCCTTTAATAATCAATAAACCTTCTTATTAACGTTATATCAATCTATTTGTTTAAAATCTAAAAATTTATAAATTTATATAATGCATTGTAAATAGGTATTTGTTTTATTTTATTAGAATTCTGATGATTTATAGGGTATTTATTCGAAGATTGTACAAGTTACAAATAAATAGACAAATAAATTATTTAATGTTCGCAAGCATCTTTCTAAATAAACTAGATATTAATTATAATAAACTTTGTTTATATTAACTAGATGTACTGGATATAAATTTAAGATTTTCTAAATAATGTTATGTTATGTTATAATTACTTATTATTAATTTAAAATATTAAAAAATATATTCATACCTGATATCTCTTCTAAGGGCCTGAGTATATGAGTCCAACATTTTCCACGACAACAATTATTTTAAGAAAACTTTTTATACCTTCAATACATCTCATGAATACTCGCATAAGAATAAAAATATACTCAAAGAATATATAAATCAATGCTTATAATAGAGTCAAACAGTTAATGAGCGCATGGTTTGCAAATATATAGGAATAGTTATGTTATTTGATGGGAATATATCATTAGGGGTTGACTCGACTTATAGAAGGCTAACTACTTTTTATAATTATAGAAATCGTAGATTTTATGGCTTAAGCACAACATTATATTTTTAGTGTTAGAAGTATTGTAAAAATTATATTAATATTAAATAGTGGTTTGTATATCAATAAATTTAAGACAAAGTCTGATAATTTTTGAACATATAAGTTAATGTTATTCTAAATGTACTAAAATTCTGAATTATTTATTATTTTATTTTATAAAAATATGTCTATTACTGCATAATAGGATTTCGCAAAAATAATTCCCCTAAAATAAATTTTTTTAATTTACAAAAGTAATATATAATGATAAATGTCATGCACAATTGCCTGGTACATAAAAAATCACATGAATATTATATAAGTTATTTATTATTTCGAAATTCCTTGTTTTAAATAGTTTTTTGTCAGAAAATTGTCAGGATTTAATTTTAGGTCGATATTTAAATATTTATTTATCAGAATTTAAATCGTTTTTAAATATTTTATTTTTATTTTATTTTCATGAATACCAATAGT